AATTGAAAAGAAAACAGTATTTGCTGGGTGTTTTGACACCGCCATAACAGAAAGAATAGATTTGGTATTTGTTTCAACTTGTTACATTTACATTTGAAGGAAAGGAAAAAAATTATCTAGATATATTACTATACTAGAGAGAATATTTTTCCATGCTGGATAGATTTTAGGAATGGCATTTTGCTCCTGTTCCTGTGAAGAGTCTTCTAATGTTGAGCTGAAACAAATAGAAAAAAATTATGAAAGATGATGAGAGAATCATAGCCAATGAAGAAAAGCCAGTAGATCAGCACAATTCTTCAGAATAAGTTATTATTGCAGGTGAAATACAGGATGGGATTCTATAGATGTGGGTTTGCAAAGAAATCCTGCATGGACATACATATTGAAGACAGAAAGCTTCTATGCTAGAGAAACAGAGCAGCAAAGGAGGAAATATTGTTGTGTCTTTGGAATAAAGCAGTTTTATGCCTCTTAAAATACAACAATAGAAGAACTGACAGAATCTCATATTAAGCACAACTCCTAATCAAATGGTAAGTGATAACAAAATATCTTGTGGTTCCTGGCAGAAATAGCTGTAATACACATATGTATCATTTCCAGTATAATGTTTCTAGTCCTATTCCATTGCAATCCAATCTGCTTCATAAAAGCATGGTCAGATAATGAAAGATCTAATCTGATTCTGGAATCTGTTAGATCAAGACAGTGATATCTGAGACATAAATGTGGACTACTAACTAGAATGGAAGCCTATCTGCCTATAAAGTACATGGAGACCAGAAACAGAGGAATTACATGTATGTACAACAGTTGCATAAGTGATTGCTGATGTCACAATGCATTCAATTTATTATTGAATTGGCAAAAAGCTTCAAAATTATTTTAATTCTTTTAACTGTACGGTTTTCTATTGCTCTGTGACTTTGCCTACAGTGACGCTCTTTTACTCTTTATCTTTCTGCCATATAATGGAGCTAGGAGAGAAGGATTTAGGACACATGATCACAAATTGGACCATCCTGTTACTATTTTCTTTCTATTGTTTAAGTCAATGTAGCTGTTAAGCCTCAGGTTGTTTCCTGGATATTTCAAAAGGTGTGAGGACTAGACCCATCTGTCTATGTGATCATAGGAATTTTTTAGCCCTGTAGGATAAAAACTATTCTCTGTGGTCATTGTAATAGATTGATAGCAGAAAAGCCCAAAAACTGAATTGTCTCAGGAGCAGACCTATATAGTTATAATGGTTTTACATTAAATTGTTTATGACAATTTATTGTCATTAAATGATAACCATTTAGAGATACTGGGGAAGAATTCTATGTCACAGGGAATCAGATTTTTGTAAAGCAAAGGGAAAGGATTTGTTTATTCACCTTTTCCATTGTTGTACATCGTGTGTGGCAAATGGGAATTGTGTACAATGGCTGGTGAAAGGGGGGAATTCTTTACCCCCTCCCAGGTTTGACCAGAGCTCCAGAAAAAGGATGGGGTGATTTTTCCTCCCCAGAGCTGTATATGCCTCACACCTGAATGGGACTGCAGCAGAACCCCCAGTGGGGAAGAAGAGACACTGAAGAAATCATAAGAAACCAGCCTAGAGCAGGAATGTGCTCATGTGTTTATACACATACATTTAACAAAAAGGTTTACTCTGCCCTTCACCTTTTGCCATCTTTTTGGTCTCTGCTGTTTCCTTCGAGCTCTCCAAGCAAGGGTCTGTTTCCCACATATGTGATGCAGTAGAAAAGCACTCACATCACCCTTTTTTGCTGTGTCAATTGGACAGCAGTGGCATATTCTTCCTTCTCAGTGTTTTCCACTCACCCAGCATCCTTGGAGTGGCAGCAGAACGTGAATGCTGTGTCTGCTATGCCTCTTGTAGGGCTGGAACAGCATCCTGCACCTCAGAGTTCTGCATGCAGCATCAGGCAGGGCTGAATGGAAAATGCCATGACCAATTTAGAAGAAATAAAGGCCATTCATCTGCCTTTGGGGAGTAACCCAGATATAGAGCTCACTGTGCTGGGTGTAACATGGAGAGATGCCCTGTCTGGCAGAACCATTGAGTCAAGAAATTCAGAGCAGGAAAAATACAGAATAGCACTGCCCTTCTTTTAAAAGTGAGAACCCAGGCACAGTTTCTTCTCCACCAAGATCAAAATGAACATCTGTGGCATGCGAAAGAAGCAAATCTCAGAATAACAAGTTTGAGACACTTCTTTCATGTGGGGGATAGCTGAGACACATTAAATGGGCTTTTTAGGGACTCTGACTTAATTCTTTCCCAATAATAAAACCTCAAGGCGTTACTTACACTTGAATATGTTAAATTCAGCTGATTTACCTTAATATTTTTTATTAAAGTACTAGTTTAAGATTAAGCACTAAAAAGCATATTTTCCTCCTGAATTTGACACAATATTTTTGAAGTTCATGAATCTATTAAGCCCCGAACACTCTCTAGTGTATTAGACAACAGTAGTGATTTACATTATTTTGACGTTGCAAATGAGTTTTCAAGGGTAATGGATTTCATATAGAAAGATTAAAAGATAACATTCCTTCATTTGTGCCTGCTGACTTCTTTCCCCCTATCATACTACATTTAGCAAAATGAATAAGGCAGAAGCAATGCTGGTGTATTTTTATGCTAATTAACGTATTTTAATTTCAAATAGCATTTCTGAAGAAAAGATACACTCCAAAAAAAGTGATGCCAGGGCAAAACTAATGAATTTTCATTCTTTTCAGTATACTTATGCTTTCATGAATTCTTTTTGTTATATTCTGGTGCATGAGAATGCATCAGTAGGCACTCAGAATATGCAGCCCACAGATCTGATTTTTACAGAAATCCAGCTTAACGTTTTTAGCTATGTAATAAACTTCACCCTGAAAGTGTTATTTTTAGTGACCAGTTGGGTAATAGCTATAGGAGCACATACTTCAGTAAGGCAGATAAGGATTGTTTTGAAAACACCACATTGTAAATGACAAGAAGTCTTTGTGCACAAAGGATGTGTTTGGCTGTTTTGTACCTAAACTGGGCTATTCTTAGACAAATTTTAAGGGTAGGCCACTCTTGTCCCCAAAAGTCTGCAGCTGAGAGCTCACCCTTGCTGCAGTTGCGCTAATTAAAGCAGTGTGATGTGTACTTTAATTAGTTAAACTGAAGTTTCCTGCACTAATTCCTCTCTTCCGCATCTTGGAGCACCTTGGGAAACCCTTGGCTCCTGGGAGTGAGAATGGTTTTGGCCATGGTGCTATAAGTCAGAAATCTCCAAGGTCTCTGCATGATGCCCATGGCTGCTGGGCCAGGGGCTATGTTCTCATGCTGATGGTGAGGGGCACAAGAAGCAGCCCTTTTTAGCAGCACAGTCCATGGATTGCACTGCTCTGATCCCAGACAATTCCAACTAGAATTCTTAGTTCATGGCCCCTCCAGGCACAGATTCACTGGCAAAATACTGATCTGCTGTAATTTTCTTGTGCATCCTGTCAAGAATAGAGCACAATAAGCCAGTCTGTCCTTCTTGGAACACTTGTCACAAAAGCAATATAAAGCCAATGACATGGTTGAACAGGATTGTTGATACTTATCAGAACAGATCAATAAATGATGTTTCTTTTACTTCCATAACTCTAGCTTACCCAAGTGCTTGTATAAAGCAAGAGCACTGGGGCTACTGCACTGCAGTAAAATCAACAGTGCATTCCACAGAGCCAGGCAAATCTCATGTTTGTTCTGCTAAGTGAATAGACTGAGAAAACATGCTCCTCAAAAATATTTTAAATCACATTGCTATACTTCTTGTTTGTAACACTCCAGAACTTTCACTATATGAATAAACACTGGTAGCTCTTGAAACCAAAACATTATTCAGGAATTTGATTTGAAAGAATTTCTTTCACAAGTAACAAAACAAATCACACCAATTTTCTCTAAATCCTTCTGGAGGAAGTGAAAAAGAACAATTTGGGAAGCTAACAGTAACTGATAGGTAAGTTCCAGTTGAGCAGAAGCCAAAATTGAAACTAAAAATCTTAGATCTAAATAAAGGCATGTGATTGCATCTTAGAGAAAATTCCCATTGTCAGAAAGGAAATACAGAAACTTTCTATAATTGAAAGTAAATTCAAACTTAGGATATTCTTACCCAGCTATGCAGAGCCATAGTACTACTTTTGTAATTAGAAAAAGATACTTAGTTTAAAATACCCCAAATTAGGAAATATAAAAGTTTTCAACAGACCTAATTTTTTTTTTCTGTGAAAAACTGACCCATTATAAGCATTTTTCTTGTCTGTAAAACTGTGTTTTCTTCTCCAGGTCTTCTTGAACTGGGACAGTGTTTACTTTGTTCAGTCAAACCTTGGACATTGAATAAATGTATTTTCTTTTTGATTAAGAGACGATAAAACCAATTATTTTAGTACTGAAATAATCTATTGGTATAAGTTTGCAGTTTGTTACTCCTGCCTGAAACATGAAGGAAAGAAAGACAGTTCATCATCTCAGCTTAGTGGCAGAGCTCTTCCTAATTGTTGAATAGATAAGAAGAATGAAGATGAGTGCTTGCTTGTTATAACCATCCACTCAATAGAAAAAGTGATAGACTTTGGGGAGTGAACATTCTTCTATACTCCAAGATTTCTTAAGGTAGCAAAATAAAATTTAGGTTTCGGAATTTCCTTAAAAGCCTAAATATGTTTTATGTGCATGAAGATTGAACAAATTCATAGAAATCACAGCCTGTTATGGCCAATGGGAGATTTCCTTCCGGAATAAAAGATCTTTTATATAGAATACTAACATTATAAATTTTAACATGAAAGACACATGAATTACAAGTTGGAAGTACTTGCAAAGAGAGGATTGAAAATTATGAAACGGAAAACTTAGCCAAAGATTTTGGTCTAGGGTAGAGTAAGTGAATAACTTTTAACAGTTAACCTCTGCCCTCTGTAGTAACTCTGTGTTATCCTTCCAGGTACCTGGGAATCACAAGACCCCTTACATACCCTGTGAGGCAGAATGGGAAGTGTATGGCCAAAATGATCCTGTGTGTCTGGCTTCTGTCTGCCTCTATCACCATACCCCCGCTCTTCGGCTGGGCCCAGAACGTCAACGATGAGAAGGTTTGCCTCATCAGTCAAGACTTTGGCTACACCATTTACTCCACAGCAGTTGCATTTTATATTCCAATGTCAGTGATGCTTTTCATGTACTATCAGATCTATAAAGCTGCCAGGAGGAGTGCTGCTAAACACAAGTTTTCTGGTTTTCCCCGTCTGGAAGAAATGGAAAGGATTTCTGTGAATGGACTTGTAAAACTGCACAAGGAATCTGAAGAATGTACTAATTTTTCACGACTCCTAAAGCATGACAAGAAAAACATTTCCATCTTTAAAAGAGAACAGAAAGCTGCCACCACCCTTGGGATTATTGTTGGGGCTTTCACAATCTGCTGGCTGCCCTTTTTCCTCCTCTCAACTGCAAGGCCCTTCATCTGTGGTACAGCGTGCAGCTGCATCCCCCTCTGGGTGGAGAGAACATTTCTGTGGCTGGGCTATGCAAACTCCCTCATTAACCCTTTTATCTATGCCTTCTTCAACCGGGACCTGAGGACAACCTATCGCAACCTGCTGCAGTGCAGATACAGGAACATCAACCGCAAACTCTCGGCCGCGGGCATGCACGAGGCTCTGAAGCTTGCAGAAAAGCCAGAATTTGTTCTGTAAGGTCGCTCATCCTCTACTGTGATCATTTGCTGTTTTATCACATTGGCTTTTCCCCCACAGGTTTGAAAGAAGTGTTGTAGGAAGAACCAGTTGAGCACTGTTACTGCAGTCAGCAGAAAACAAGGTAGAGCCCACCAGTCCTAATCAGCCTGGAAAAGCAAGACCATCATCTAAAGAATTTGGGTCTAAGAGGAATATAAGAAAGGATGGAAGTGAAATGTAGCACAGGATGTTTGAGCGGTTAGTGAGGAAAAAGCAAAGTTGGCCTAACCCATTTGTTTGGCCCAAAAAATGTTTAGTAGGTATGAATGTTGGATGCACCTTGTGTCCCAGAGATTCTTTGCTGTAATAAAGACCTGAGAATGGTGAAAAGTTAATTTACTTCCACTTCAGTATTACAAAAATAAGTCAGTAAAGAAGAAGCTGAATCAAAGAACTTCTATTCCTTAGAAATATTCTTTATGATAAAACCCCATATGTTCATTAAACATTAATTTACTGGATTGCCTGGAAATGAACTATGTTGTGAAATTCAATATTGCCTTTGCACAGCAACTCTGGCACTGAAAGAATGTCACACTTCCAATGTGATTAAAAGAGTTTGAGTAAAGTCACATGGACCAGCATCTACTGCTGCATACAGCCCTGCAGCACAGTTAGCTGCAGTGCTGCTGTGCAAATCACACCAGGTAATCTTGTACCATATTTCTAACATAAAAATGTGTCTGATTACAGTTTATTTCAGGATCTGTCTGGTCTTTGTCCATCTCTTCATTCTTTAATTCTCTTGGCTTTCTCAGCTGAGCACTTCTCTAATCTAGATGGAGACTCTCTGTGCACAAGTAATTTCTGTGATGTATGGCTAGTCCTTGTTCCACTTCAGTAGTTAATTTACTGTCTATTTGAAAGCTCTTCTACTTTCTGGGACTTCTTTCTCTTCTGAAGTCAGTAAGGAAAAAAAAAAAAACATGAGACCTTATGACTTCAGAGATACCTGGACTTTTTCCTTGAAATCTGATTTTACTCATCACTTGTGCTTAAAGTGATTTAAAGCCTTGCCGTGTGTACAAATAAAGACAATTTACTTTTTCTGGTTCTAGCTTTTTCTACCATCATTGCAGTTTGTCCAAGTATGTGATCCTACTTCTGACTTTAGTAACAGATCTCTTCTGTCAGTATGGCAGGGCCAAATAGTACAACAATTTTTTATTAAAAAATTAAAAATAATATTATCCATTATATTAATATATTACTAGTAATGTATTAATATAACATGCAGCAATTTTTTAAGATATTATTATAATAAAATAATAATAAAACAACTCATAAGATCAAGATGAGTTCTTTGGCCCAAGTTTGCACTGCACACCGTATTCCAGCTGAAGCAGAGGGCAAGGGTACGTTACTGAACAAAGACTTCAATCTTCAGAGCTTGATCTGCTTTTTCAGCTATTGGGACACCAGTGAGGAGACATGTTCATTATCAAGTTGCCTCAGCATCAAATCTCTCTTTAGGCTAATTTCTGTCCCTGCTTTCTCAAGTCTGAAGGCAAAATGACTTCAATGAGCTCAGTGATGTTCATTTGGGCTGAGCAGGGGCAGTCAGTGCCAGAGCCCTTGCTCCAAGCTTACAGAGGTACTGCAGGCACTCGAGCCTCTCACTGGCACACAGCCAAGAGCTGGGTGATGTGCTGAGCCACATGTACTGAAACAGGCTACAGCAATTTTAGATGCATTCATACGCTGCAGTAGGGAGTACATTTTGGCCTCATTTTCACAACAGAATTGTAGAGTAAGAGGCTGTATTCCAGCAGCAAAACAGTTTTCTAAAGAAGCTTCCAATTGATTTGGGACAGTCCTGTTTATTTTAAATGTTCCAATATTATGCACAGGGACAAGAAAAAAATTGGGCCCAGAAGATCCGCAACCTCTGGAGTACAGAGTTAACTCAAGCGTATTTTCCATATTGAACATGAAATGATTGTTGTTTCTTTATTACTTATCAGAGTAGCTTTTGTTTGTTTGTTTCCAGCATAAATGAGAAGTTTTCAAGGCCCCCTGTAAGTTTTTTTCCTGTATAAGGACATCCATGGGAATATACAAATAGATGTATCTGGGAAGACTCCAAGTGGGACTATAAAACTCTGAAGGTGATTTTAGATTTCTGGACAGAAGATTCAGCATTTTTATTCTGCAGGAAAGCCTGAGAATCTGTGTTTCCTCCAAATAAGATGATTTTTATTTTTATTTTTTTTTAAATGGAATATGTGTCTTGTGAGTCAGAAATTGACATTTACCCAGCTGTCACTAAAGGCAGTTGCTTTCCTCTGGGAAAACATCCTGCAGGAGTCCAGCTTTCCTCTACCATCTGTTTCAGGTAATGAGAGCCCAGGAAGGAATAAGAGTTGTTATGGTGTTTATACCAATCATGGAAGTTTTTTGAGACAAACATCCATATCTGATCTCTGGGTGTGTTTGGAAAGAAAAGAAAAACCAAAGAAAAAATACTCCAAAAACCAAACCACTACAAAGTTTCTTCATACACCCAAATCAAAATAGAGACAAATGGAACACCTTCTAGATGGAGCTGTATTTGAGGGGAAAAGTGAAGAAGCTGAGAAGATTAGAAGAATGTTCCACTGCCCAAGCACACAAAGAAGTTGAGAAGAAGAGAAAGTTTGCAGACAGAATTTTAGTGGGAAAAGGCTTTAGGAAGAAGAAGAAGGACATAATTGTTTGGGTTTGTGAACAGGACATTTCTCTTTTTTAAAAGATAAATAATTAAATTGAACTGCATCACAATATCTAACTGCAGCAATAGCATTTTTTTTCACTCAGATAATTTACTACACTTGACAAGGGGGTGATACAAAAATGGGTGAATGAGAAGCCTATGTCAACAGGTGATGTAGCAAATCCAAGAAGAGACTGCACTCTTGGTCTGTGTGTTCCTCCATGTATTTCCAGAGGAAAGCCAGAAGGGTGAATCAAGTAGATGGGGTTGTGAAAAAAATTGAAATAAAAGACTCCAGGAACCAGCCAGAGCACAGGCAGGCCAGCATAACACTGCCTAAGTGAAGAGGGAGAAAATGAGACTTGTACTCCCCCTGGCCTCTCAGCACAGCTTTTAAGAGGGAGACTGACTGTGGTGGGAGCCTCATTGCTAACACATTCTCCAGCTCCCACCACCTGCCAGCCTGCACATCTAATGCTGCAACACACTATTGGCACTTGCCAAACTCCTGTTTAGCAACAGCCTCACTGGGGAGTAATAGAAATAGCAGAGTAGTAAAACTGTGACTTGATGATAACACCTTATTATTATGCCTCTACTGCTTCACATTTCAATTTCATAAAAAGAAAACTTTTTTTTTCATGCTCTGTTCGGAGCTAGCACCACCTGCAGAAAGATGTGTCAAAAAGTAGCAAATTAATCAATTACAAAGAGACAAAGAAGGGAATTATGTATCAAATTAATACTATAAATAATGCAGACAAAATCCATTCACTTTTGCCCCTGGTCCCTGGCAGGAAAACAGATGTCCAGGCAGCCATTGGTCCAAAAAGTGCATCATTATTTAAAGAACACTATGGAGTTAAGTTTTTTCATGACTGACCAAGATACTGCAGTTACACAACTGGAAGGTGTTGGAAGCAATGCCATTGGGTTTTGTACTTTCCCTACCTATTTAATTTTCATATTATTTTTCTGATCCTACAGGAAAAAACCCTTTTAGATTACAGCATTCTCGAAGAAAGTGCAAGATCAACACATCATCAAATCCTCTTCACAGTTTGCTTAAGAAGTAATTTTTGTCTTTTAAAATGTTTCTCAGGAAGACACAGAGAAAGAGAAAGGAGAAAATTAAGAGACTTGGGGAATGGTTTTAATATGCAGAATTATTAATATCCTGGAATAGAAGACACCTCTTATTTCAAATGCTGACGAGGTAGGGATTGTGAGGACTAGATTTTTTTTTTCAAGAAAGGCTCAAGCAAGTAAATTTAAAAATAGCTTAAGAAAAATTGAATCAGAAGGGTAATCTTTAAAATTTGCAAGAAATACAAAATTAGGTCCCTCTTCATGGTTTTAAATCTTCTAATGTTGTTATCACCACTAAAGATTGGGTTCAGCATGAATCTGAAGTGAATTATATTATTTATATCTACTTTCTAAACATGGGCCTGTCCTTCCCCACACCCAAATTCAGCTTCTCTGCTCTTTCACTGAATCCCTTCTCACCAAGAGATAGTTCCAAAAGGACAGAATGGCTTTTATTTGCTGAAAACTGAAAAGATGCTTATGATTCCCAGATTCATTTCTCAGTGCTCCAAGCTGAAAACCCCCATTGAGCTACTTCTAAAGGATATTAATATATGATGATTGCTGAGGGTAATATTTTGATGATTTGTGTAACTTTGTGACTTTACTGATTGAAATTATAATTTGCCTCTTTTGCAATCTTTAACATAGAGCTAGTTGAGTTACTTCAGAAAAAAAAGTGTTCAAATGTATCAAAGTTTGCAGAAGAGTTCATCCAGTTTTATAAACCAACATACCAGACTGAATAAATATTTTGCCTTTTGTTTTCTGTCTACTCAGTCAAAATCAACGATATTTCATTAATTCAGTAGTTGGGTGGTCTTGCTAGCTCCAGGAAATTGTGTTTACCGTATACTTGTTTTTACCTTTTGCAAGAGAAGAGAAAGCAAGCCACTGAAGTATATACTTAGTTCAGCCCTTTAAAAAAATCTCCTTTGAAGCATGGAAAAATAGAAAAGAATGCATCTGGATAAACTCATTATTGCCTCAGAAAACTTGGCATCTCTTGCTAAACTAACCAGGTCTGTGTAAAAACAACAGGGATGTCTCAGTCAAATCTACCATCCTGAAGGTGGTTGCAAGGAAAATACAAATTAGGCAAATTAACATTTACTTCCCAACAGTAGTGCAAAAGCTGACAAACCCATAAATTTTATTCCTGTCTTCAAAGAAAGCAGTAAATGCAGCAAGGGAAAATCATGCTAAGGACCTTTCACTTGTCATTACAAGAAAAAAAATAAATCAGAAGTTCAACTAAGCACATAAAGTTAATGCTGCAAAATAATTTTTTTAAATATTAGTATAACCTTTCTGAAATAGTCTTCTACCAGCCCAGAAAAGAGAAAAACAACATTCTCTAGGGTAAATTGTATAAACCCCAGAATTTTATTCTGGCATTATAAGAAAATCCACAGTTGCCTAAAGCATAGAATATAAAATGTCTTTGTCTTTCCTTTATATCTAGTTTTGAACATGGATATGATTACCAGCCTTCCTTTAATTTGGACAATTTTTTACCAGGATGTGTTTTCATGTAATAAAATATTTGAAATAAGTGAGAATGCAGGTTTGTCTGTAAAAATGCCTGCTCCTGAAACAACCAGAGACATGAATAATTCCATGGTTTGAAGAGGGAGGCTGTCACAAGACAAAAGAGTACCTTGCTGCAAGATTGGAGAGGGATGCCCTGAAACCCTGTTTTGTAACCTTGCAGGTGTTTGTGGCTGCTGTACAAGAGTGGCTCTTCCCTTCACCCAGCTTGAGGGGAGAGGCAGGAATTTGATTATTCCATGCAAAGACTTTGCAGTAATTCTT